AGGGGTGGGGGTGGGGGTGGCAGAGAGATGATCATGGGCAGGGAGAGAACAGGGGCTCTGGAATCCAATGATCTCCCTCCCTCCAGCCACAGCCTCAGGCAAGCTCCCTGGCTAAGTCATCCTTTCCAAGCTCCTCTATAAAATCTGTCTCTCGGGGCTGCTGTGAAGATTCATTCATTGATTCGATGAATGGGCCCTGCAGAATTGGGCTGGCTGTGCAAGGGCTGGAGACAGTCACCATTAATTTAGGTGTTCTCCTGTGCAGGCTGCTGTGCTAAGTGCTCTACAAGTATCAGAGTATTCGATCTATGTAATTCTCTTGGAAGGTAGGGCTCTTTGTTCCCATTTTACAGATGAGAAAACTGAGGCTCAGAGTTGAAAGAATGTGTGCAAAGTCACATAGCTAGGGCAGAGGTGGAGCTAGGATTGCAACCCACAACAGTCCCTGCTCCTACTCCTCACATCACACTGCCTAAGGCGCTGCTTCCTCTCTGTGTTGGCACCTGGCAGGAAACAGATGGGCCAGAGGTGATAGGTAGCAAAGCTGAAGTAGTCAAGGGTCAGAGCTCTGCCACTTGCCAGCAGTGTGACCAGAAGTCACCTAATCTCTCTAGGCCTCAGGTCCTTCAGTGTAACTTGAGGATACTAATAGTACCTACAGCTCTCTGGATTGTCCAAATATTTAAATGAGCTTGTTCACATAAAGGCTCAGAACACTGTGTGACACACGGTAAATATTCAATACATGTTGACTTTTATTAGTACTACTATTACTTCTTATTATTAAGCTCAGTGCTTGCTGCAGCCTCCCCTGACCTTTCTCATTTGTGCTCCCACAGTTCTACCAGCGGAAGCTCTTGGCGCCAGCCCAGCTGGCCAGCTCCCTGTGACCCAAACATACGGCACTTTCCCTGCCCAACTGCAGTCCTGGGTGAAGCTCTGTCTTAGCCCTGGCCCTCAGGATTCTCCTTGTCTATGCACGAGGCTGTGGTAAAGGCTGGAGAGTATGTGTGAGGTAAGGGGTCCGTGTCAACCTTGGCTGCCTCCTCTCCCTAGTCTTAAAAAGTGGTATTTTCACCTCTAGATTAAGGAGCATTTACAAGGTGCCAAGACACATACTTTGCTAAGTGTTTTATTGACATTATCTTATGTAAATACCTCACAATGACTCTAAAGATGGAGATACCTGTTTTTCAACTTTACTGGTGAGGAAACTGAGAGAGGAACAGAGAGATTAAGCTACTAGTAAGCGGCAAAGTGGGACTTTTGCCTGCTGACAAAGCCCCTGTTCTCCTCTGCTGTGCCCCCCATCCCCTGGCATTGTGACTGCGAGCTTCTGGTTGGCTCAGGTCAGGAAGCATTAAGAAATCACCTGATACAGCAGGTGCTATGCTGGGCCCTGGGGCTTGATGAGTCCCTGCCCTCAAGGAGCATATAGTCAAATGAGGGAAAGAGAGTAGATATCAATAATTTAAAAACTAATGTTTGAGCTCTTTCTTTGTGCCAGGCCCTGTTTTAGTAACATCATTATGTGTGTTAACTCATTCATTTCTCACATGAGCTGGATGAGGTAATGAGCACAAAGTTAAATAATATGCCCCATATCCCACAGCTGGTAAGTGGGGAGCTGGGGCAATTATAAATGTTTATCGCAATAATGTAAAGAACCAGGACACTCAGTGACACTAGGATACACTGTGACATTGCAAAACATCAGGATATACTGAGACACTGTAAAGCACCAATGTACACTGTGACATTGTAAAGCACCATGACAGTGACACTGTAAAGCATCAGGATACCCTGAGACAGTGTAGGTTTGTATGAGATACAGGAAGAGTGCAGACCAGTGAGGAATGAATGGCTTAGGTGTCTGGCCAAGGGAATTCTGAGAAGAGGGTTTTGAAGAATGAATAGGAGTATCTTAGGGATCTGGAAGAAAGTGGAAGGGGAAGATGCATTCCAGACTAAAGGGAACAGAATGGATGTCTGGGGGTTGCAGCCACCAGTTCCAACGGGGCTGGGCTGGACGCAGGGCCCACTGGCCACCTTACACCTGGGGGGAAGGAGGGGCAAGAGAGAGTACAGATGCCTCTGCTGTAGGAAGGACTTGGCTGGGCCCTCCTCATCAGGGGCTCCGGCCTTGAAGGTGCTCAGAAGGGATTTGGGAGAGGGACTAGTATTTTGGGGACGGCATTCTAAACCCTGGTGAAGAGTTCCCCTGTGTGCTGGACCAGCCCACATGGGGCTGACCCCAGCTGAGGCTGAGACGCTCCAGTCTTTTCTTCCTTGTCTCAGCTGCCCAGGTTTTTGCCAACAGCACCGGTGTCTCCACTGCTCACAGACTAAGGGGAGGACAGCCATCAACCTTCCCCTCTAAGCACCTCTCTCTGATGGTCTTATCTCTGCTAAGTAATGCTTTTGATTCCTGTCTCCTTTTGTTACCCATGGGGAAAAAGCTGACCCTTTAGCTCAAGGGCATCTTCCCAGCCCAGGAAGGGAAGGGCTGCTTGGACATAGGGGTTCGAGGTCCTGAGACAGACCCTGAGCAAAAGAGGTTTTATGAAACCCCGCTGGTCACAGCCGGTTCCATTCTGCCCATCTCTTATTTATGCAGCATGGGAGCCTTTCCAGGCCCCCTCCTCTCGGCTGCCCAGCGAGGGCATTGATCGCCCTAATGGCACAGCTCTGCGGTTTGGGCCTGAGCTGCCCCCTCCCCAAGCCTTCCTGTGGCTGCTAATTAGCTGAGGCCCAGAGACTCCATTTCACAAATGGGGAACTGGGGCCCAAGGGGCTCTGCTGGGAAGTGAGAGGTCTAAGCTTAGCATCATGCCACCCCCAGACTCTTTCTGGTCAGCTCTGTTGCTGACCCAAGGCTACTAAACTGTGTGTGTGTCTGTGTGTGGTGTACTTTCACAACTGCGGACAAGGCCAGAGGCCAGAGTGGGCTGATGGGATGTTAGTTCTTTCCTGAGCCCCAGAGGAAAACGAGTCTTTGCAAAATGGCAGCTCTAGAATTGTTAGACTGGATGGTATTTTGAGTGGCTGTGGGGATACTGAGGGAAATTCTTGGAGTAGGGAGGTGCTACAGTTCTCCAAGCCCTCCCTGGCTTCACTACCGTGTTTTTAGCTGGGAGCCTTTGTCCCTGACACCTCCCAGCCCTGGAATCAACTCTGGGTGAAAGAGCCAGGTCCCCACAACTGTGGGTGAAGAGGGATCAGGGACGTACCCTAGAGGGTCACAGACTCCTAGCATCTACTAGGAATGCAATCAGATGAAAATGCCTGGCGGGACAAATCTTGGATGACAAGACCAAGAAGCAATATCAAGGACAACAGCCAGTCCCAAAGGAGGAGTGTTGGCTGCCTGGAGCAACAGACGCAGAAGAGAAAAGGGTAGGAGGCATGCTGCTAATGGTATCTGAACCTACAAGCAGCTTTCCTGCCCCCACTGGAGTGTCCTGCTAGAGACAAGGCTGCTCCTGGCACTTGGGAGCTATAGCTCAGATAGCACAATGCTGGAAGCCCCTCACAGGATGCTCCCCATTCTGCCCCAGGCCGCCAATCAGGAGATCAAAGAGAAGCTTAACTTTGGAGGAACTCAAGGAGCCTATATCCCATTAAATCTCAGAAACCTGGCAGGACTAATAAAATTGTGTACGTGAAACCAACAATGTAAAATGTGAAACACCATCCACAGCTCCATTTTTTCTGTGATCTTGTAGAAATATTAAATTATTCATCAAAATAGAACATCAGAACCACCACGACCACATCCCGTGATCTGCAGTCCAGGGGACATTTGCAGCCCCTGCTCAGGGGGAGACTCATGGATTGGGATGGAAGGAGCAGCTGGACACACTCTTAGTTTCCTGACAGGGTCACACCTCCAGGGAGCTGGATCAGGGTCCAGTTCTATAAGCCATTCCAGCAGAGAATCTCAGAACTAAGATTGGCTTGAAGGTGGAAACTGTCCAGAGGACGGTGCATTGCTCCTGAAACCAGCGTTGGGAGCTCTCTGCAAGTTCAGGGTTGTGAGCTCCCCCTTCCTTCTATACCTTTCAGGCCCATTCTAAGTGGAAAGTGGCTACTGACCTCTGGGAAGTTGACTCCCCTGAGTTAGGGACCAGGAAGCTGGTGCTGAAAGACTAAGCTCTGGGCTGCTCCGCATCAAATCTGCAACCCAGGTACCTGCCCTTGACAGAGAATCAAACCCATGACCCTTTGGTGCCCTGGCCAAGGCTCTAACCATGAAGCCACACTGGCCAGGGCTGGAATCTCTTTTCCCTCTGCCCAGGTTATTTCAAGGGCTAGTTGGAGGGGTTGCCAGCTCCTCCAGGGCTGGGCATAGATCCTTCCTGGCCCTTCCTCCCTCCCCTGGCCTGAGTCTTTCAGAAGCTCCTTCAGTGTGCCCCATTTGGTGGTGGGCAGAAGGGTGGGGGCTAGGGCACCCGGGCCCCACCTCCAAGCCTGCTCGATGGCCTGGGGGAGGGGTGTTGTGAAGACGACGGAATTAGCAATGAGGGTCCCAGGAGGCTATCCTTGGCTGGAGATGGAGCTTCTTTTGCAGCAGTCTGGCCCAACCTGACCCAGCTGGGCTCCTACCACGGCCACGATCTCTTCAGCCCACACCTATCCTCCCCACCCAGACTTAGATCCGTCCCACCGAGAATTCCCCACCTCCATCCCCAGACCAGGGGTCACTCCCCAGCTCCCCCAGCCTTCGGGCAGAGACCAACCCAGCCAATCTGGGATCCACAGCTTCCAGGGGAGCCAGCTTGGAGTGAAATGGGGCGAGGCCAAGGTCACAAAGAAAGGCTGAGGCTGAATGGCAACGAAGGAGATGGGCGGTAGGGAGCCCTTAGGCCCTAGGATCCCTCCCCGGGCGGTCCTCAAGGGGCGCGGAGGGCGCACTCACCGCCGGGACCACTTGGCTGACGGCCGCCCGAAGGGCCGTTTCCACAGCACGCCGTAGAGCTGCACTTTGGTGCTGATGTCCAGCGCGTCCGAGTCAGCCTGCTCCAGGGACGGCGAGGGCGACACCGAGTTGGACTTGGACGTGAACATCCTGCCTCAGTGGGCCTGCCCCGGGCCCGGCCCACCCACTCCCGGAGCCGGCGAGGAC